AAACCTCCAGAGTCACGCAAAAAGAGAATTCAGTTCCTTTAAAAGTGAACAGAAGAAGACAGGTGGTGGCCCTGCTCCCCCGAACCCATCAGAAGCCAGTTTAAAAATAATAAACATGTTCAGTGACACACCGTCATTTACTGGGTTACAGGGGTTTGAAACAGGTAAGTTTATAAATGGAAACATTATTGTAATACCTCTCAATGTCCATACCTTGCATAAAATGTATACTCCGCTAACAAACACAAAGCAAAGTGAAAATTAACGGACTTTAGACTTTTGTTTCTTTCTTATTTTCTTTTACATGTACTCCCATGTAAACAAAAAAACAAATGGCGTAGAAGCGCAAAGCAATGAGGACTTGTTGGAGAGCGGAGAGAGGATGATTGCGGTTGGTTTTACGACGAAGATTATCTGCCAAAAGGTCGGTAATATACTCTATAGACTCCTTTCCAAAGCGATACCTTGCTCTTAATTCTTCGTCTGTATATCCATCTATCGTGAAACCGATGCTCCTAAACTCTCTTTGCTTCCTTTTTCTTCGCCCATCAACACCAACACAACCATACAACAAGTCAGCCATGTTGTGATTTTCATTTTTTAATCTGCCGATTAAGGATTTAATCCACCTAGCGAGCAGGGTTAGATTTAAACCTTGGTTTGATCGAAGGTTAGGAATAATCGTGCTTTGAACAACAGAAACTAATCGGCGACTTAAATTTAATCGGCGATTAGCCTATTTAATCGTGGATTAGCGCTAATCAAAGTTCAACAAAGAACAACAGCCACACAAATAAATACTTTTCATGAAAGACACCTTTACAATGGTAGATACACACAACTGACATGTTTGAGTGAAGCATGTCAAGCAGTAAGGAATGAAATGTGTCAGTTTGCTTTTCACTACTTGGAACCAGCTTATTTCTATCAGCCATAAAAACTTCTGTATCCTTGCTTTCAAAGAAAAGCATTTCCCATGAACATTTAAACATTAAAGACATAAGCTACCAGCAAAAGATTTTTCCATTGTTTCATAACATCAGATTCGCATCACATTTTTTTGTTACATTAGAAAGCATAAGAAAATTTAATCATTACAATCTAATGAAATCCCCCATTTTAACCCTTTAGTCACACTAGTGACCTAGACAGAATTTCTCCTTACACAATCAATACAATATCTAGCAGACGAGTAATGAGAATAAAGAGAAATATCAATTAGGGGATAATTGGTTGATCAAATTCCAAATTCTCTAACCTAACATCACATAAATTGTATGGCAGACAGTAAGGAGAATTACTAATGAAAATATCTTGAGAGTCAAAGGGTTATGTAATCATATGTACCAGAAAGAAAGCAAATAAATGTAACATACTTCAGTAAAGTGTTCTTATGCACAATGAAGTTTCAAACTCATTGAAATTAAGTTGACTTCATGATTAAGATTTTAGTTTAATAAATGTGTAATATCTCTTCACATGGGTGAAAAGAGAATGCCATTTATGAATTCTAAAATATGGCATATCTATTCACTGAGATTTTAATCATTAGCTGGCACACAGAGATATAAAAGAGGCTTTGTGAAAAAGACCTGGGCAATTAAATTAAAGATTCAGGAGAAACATATGACATAAACTAGTCTACTGATGTTCTCATCTGAATTAAGTCTGGAAAGAGAACTCTATGACACTTCTGTTTTATCTTCTCACACTTGAATTAAAACATAAAATTTAATTATTTGCAAGCAGGTTAAGGATGAAATTAAAGGAATGGATATATATTACATAAAAGAAACCCCATACAATGAAAATAACACAGAAGCACACTACCTCCGTGTCTTGCTTCTGAATACAGCTATAATAGGTATTTTTTAAGCAATTAGCTACATATATAAACCGGGTGCAATATACGGTCGTAAAAGCAATTTCATTCTAACCTTCCTCCGAGAGGGGTGCCTTGTGTATCAAATATATCAAGTCCAGTACCTTCAGAGTCATAAGCCGGGCTTTTGGGGCTACAAAATAGTACAATAGTCAACGTATTATGGCAGTTCAATTTATCGAGAGTCAATCAAGTATAGTTAAAATCGAATGGAAAGTTTAAAATGTGCTTCACTTGTGCTACATATACGGATTTATCGTTCTTAATTACTGTTGAAATTCCGAGAGCGTGACCCAATTAATTCAAAAGAAAATATCCAAGCAGGTTTTCAGAAATAGTTCGCGAATTGTAAGCTGGTAATGTGTTAACAAAACCTTCCTAAATTATGGTGCCGATACGACTTTATCGTTCATAAACACCTATGAAACTCCGAGGTTGTACCTCAATGAATGCAACGGAAAATAGCCAAGAAGGTTACAGAAACGGAATCTCAAAAACGGCTCTCGAATTAAAAAACTGTAAACAATTATTTACGCTAACCATGTGTTTACCAGCGTGCTTGTGAGCTCAAATTGCCGAGACCCCGATTAATTACTCGAAAATGTGATGACTATCGTTAACAGAGATCGGTTCTTCAGTTTCCAGCATTGCGAAAAAATATCGTATCGCAAGCATGTTCATCATAACCCGAGCAGTAAGTACGCCTCGAGATGTTGAGAGAAGACAAAGTGGCTCCATGTTTTGAGACAATTGAACCATTTCCTGAAGTTCGAACGAATCGAGTAGAAAGCATGAAAACATAGTACTGAAAAGTACCATGATTAAACAATAAAATTCACTCATTCTGCAGTAGAACTAACTCCTTTTTACCCGTTAGTTTGTTTGCACCACACATTTGCGGTCCGTAATTTAATTCTCAGATGTTTGACGGGCTCTCACATGAGAATATTGTCAAAATCAAATTACCGCATCAGAATCAATGTAAACATGGACATCGCTGACTCAATCTCATTTTATTTCAATCTTGGGAACGGCAACTATTTCGTTCTTAGGCTGAAACAACACTTCTTCGACAAAGTGCGATTTGTTGTAATTGAATAGGGTAAATCCTGGGATAGTTGACTGAAGAGAGAAAGAAGTTGAAACTTGCGCTCGCCGTTCGCTATCATTTGAAAGCTTTCTGGGCAAAAAAAAATCCGTAAGATAACTTCTTTTCCATTAACACCACGTCTGTATAAAACACTCCAAACGACAGGGCAAGAAATACCTTGAAGAGTACAAACACTTTGGTTTTTGGGCGATGAAGGCCAAAGTCGTTGTTTTACCGAAACGTGATTTTAATTATGAACTGAATCTACTATCAAACGACGATTGCTACAAAAGGTTTGAATTTTGTTTAGAGAAAACCCAAAAAAGACACGACTTACCTCCTCTTCTTTCTAGGATCCTTTGTAATTCGCCTCTCTTTGTTGATGACCTCTTCTCAGTCTCAGGCTGTTTTCGGCAGCGTCTTTGTATTTCCTTCTCGCGTTGCTCTTGGCTAGATATTCGCCTTAATACTTATGTCTTTTCTTTTTCTCTTTCGCGTTCCTTTCGCCGTATCTGCCTATTTTGGTGTCCTCTCTAACTTTCTAACGCGTTTTTCTCGACTCCCTTTACGTCTTTTACTTCTTGTTTTTTTGGTCGCTCGGTCTCTTTCATCCTATTTTCACTCAAAACTCTCTCTCCACAAACTTGAATTATAACAATTTCCTCCCGTTGACAAAGCTTTAGCTCTACCGGTATTGTTGCTTTGCAAGTTGGTTATGATTTGCAAAATACTAAGAATTACTATTCAACTGCAAACTCACCAATAATAATAGTGCGGGTTGCACATTATTTGCTTACGCGGCTTCACATCTACTTGCCCACGTGAAGCTCTCGTGCAAAATGCCTAACCGTGTGCCCGCGGTACTTTACACAGAGGCTCGACACTCGAATATGCGCCTGCGCACTACCTTCTCCCTCGCCCTTCCATTACGTAATGGCTCAGTTATTTCCCGTGGTACAGTTGGCCGCGCATGCTAAAAGTAGCACCATGTACGGTCGGTCGTAGGGTCGTACGGTCGTAAGTCCGAGTTTTTTCGGTTTGAAGGTTACTACTGTTATAATGTATAATTATGGGGCTACGCTGCAGGCGCTGCAAGCTCCGCTATTATTATTTCCTCTATATTTTCCGCAAGATGGTAATCATAATTAAGAAGTGATTTTATAGCAAAAAACACAAGATGGATTTTAATATTGATTTATATCTACATTCGTTTAGACAATGGTACAGTTTAAAGTACTTTACCAGCTCGGTTTTGTGATCTGAGATATCTGTTGGATTTCAATTTCACTGGGCTATGCGATATTTTTTTCAGATATGCCTGACCAAAACTTAGGGTAGAATTAAATAATAACCTGGTGAACAAAGTAGATTCATGAAACTCGTCGAGCGTCTTTCTTTAAAGTGATGTATATCGATTTCTGACGAATGTTAATTTGATGTAGTCAAAATTTACTCAATGGGTTATCCTCTCGGTTTAAAGTCAGTTAAGCAACAGTAGTAATGAAATGCGCCTTATGAATTGTACATGAGTTTTTAACTTCCTGGCCCCGGTTGTTGGAAGGATGGATAACACTATCCAATGGACGATTCTCTATCCGTTGAATAGCGAAATTCAGCCATTGGATAGTGTTACCCACCCTTTGAGCGCCACAACTGGGCCCTGATGATAATAATGATAATTTTAGAGTCTATTGAGTTTTACCAGCTGTCGGGGTTGTTCGGGGTTGCCAAATGTAAAAATAATGCTCTAGAAAGTTCTATAATGCCTAATTATGCTGACATACATACACGAACTTTCTATATTCATACTATGGATGTTTCTAGAAAATTCTACTAGCTTGTGTAGTGATGATGTAATGCTACCAAAATAACTGCGTTGTAAGCTTCCGGAATGTTATAGAATACTTTGTAAAAGTATACAAGGACTCAGTCGTGTAGTGGTAGTTGTCTTTCTAGACAATCAGGGTCTGATTGTTTGGAAAGTGAAAAATGAAAAACATCAGTCACGAATTTTCGTTTCTAACTCTTTTATTCCATTCTATTCTGCTCACTACAGCAATCTACTGGTTGATTTAAAGTTCCGAGACCCTGCAAAAAGTAAATAAAATATCAAAATCCATCATGAAGGTTCAGCTCTTACATCGCTAAAATAATATAAATAGAATTAATTTGCGATTTCTAGACTCATTTTTGGTCGTGCTTTATATTTTCTACTCTCTGCTTTTGAATTTTTGCGGAAAGGATATATCTCTCACCTTCAGCCCCTTCTGCAGTACCTGCGGAACATCTGAAGTCTGTCCAAACGAGTGATACGATTTAGAGGGCCAATTCTCACCTAATATGTGACCACAAAAAGCCAAGATTAGTTATCTAAAAACACTTTCAGTTTCTGCACAGTTTACGTTAACCAGTTTTGCAATGAATCTCATTCCCTCCCACGAGCTTTATCATTTTTATCAGAAAGCTTTCCATTCTTCCATGGACATTTAAAACTTCATACGTAGAGTGTAAGAATGTAACAATGGCAACGTACCCCTCTTCGTTTAGCTCGAATTGTAGGCCGTCCATTCTTGGAGAAAGCCCTAGGGCTATAATGCATCACGCTTCTGTAGTCGTAACGAACCCCAAGAGAGCTGCTTTCAGATCTACGTCTCTTTCTGAAGTTATGCTTCTCTCCTACAAGTTTGATCATTGGTTGAGGAGAAAAAAGCAAGTGTGTTTAAAACTATTTTTAATTTCTTTTCCTCAAAACACGCGTCGAAATTCTTTGAAGACCTTAACCTGGTAAGACCTATTATAGTTTGTGTTTTCTATTTGACAGTAAGGTAAACGCTCATATTTTGTTTTTTCTTTTTTCTATATTTTTTAAATTGATCCATACAGTTACAAATAATTCATTGTTGTGGTGACTTCCTAACAAGGTCAAGAATACTACTTCATCTTTATTCCGGAATACCAAAAAGAAACTTCAACGTGCCAGTGTTTTATTCAGCCTATCTTAAAGATTGTTCTCCTTCAGAGGTAAAGGTTCACTCAGACTAATGTTTCAAACTATAGATCGTTTAAAGAACTTTCGGTATATGGCTGAAAATTTCTGTTGATCGAATCGCCGTAATTCTTAATAGAAACCCTAAAAACTCCAGCCCTACGTAAATCTGCGTTCTATTGACCGCAGAGTACTTGGATCTAATTTCCCCAATTTTCGATTCAGGGGTATGCCCACTTACCACGTTGGATGTTCTGCCACAGTATTCTGACGTATCTATCCCTGTCAGGACGAGATTGTTCGTGCCAAAAACCCAAAGCGTGCCCTGAGGGTGGAAGGATTAGTTAAAGTGTCACTCATAGAAATTACTTATTTTGTACAGGCTACCACTTGTGTTTAGCTATGAGGACACCACTAGGTCAGGGCACAATCCTAATCTTGTGTTTTACCTCCTCGTAAATACAAGAACAATCCCCAAAAAAGCTTTAAAAAAGTTCTGTTGTAGACATTTTCTCCCATGAATCATGTCAAGGAAGAATCTTAATGACTGAGTGAGCTAATATATATAACGAGTTTTTTGTTTCTTCTCATCCCTCGCTTTTGTTGTTGCTGTTGTTGTTTTTCTTTGCGATAGATTAAAAATATTGTTGGCTAATTCTCTTCATGAACAAAGGGAAAGTAAGAATTCAGCAGACAATCTGAGCACAGTGGTTCATAGCCTCAGTAATAAAAGCAATGAAGCAATTAAATAAATCAAGCAATGAGCTGCCTCAAAACAAAACGGTGACCACTGCTCTTTTAAAAAAAATTTGTTTTCGCCGAGAATTACTCTTAGCTATGCTTAAGTCCATAAAGGATATTTTGGTGCAAGTTTATTTCACAAATGAGTCCTTAGAACATGACTGTTTTCTCGTAGAGCCACAAAGTACCCACCAATTTCATGAGCCACTGTTCCCGTAGTCCAGCAGCCAATATGTAGGCTGACGTCTTGACGTCTGCCAACTCTTCCCACATAGGATGAACAGCTTAAAAGTCATTTAGGCATTTAAAGTCAGCTTTGTACTTTGTATAAATTTAAACTGAAGATGACAGAAGAACTGTCGAAATATGTTTTTATAAAGCGTCGTTTATTTTCTTAAATTCGTGACACATATGCTGCTATCTAGACCTGTGGAAGTGTCGAAATTACATTAAACATACCTAATCACTCTAAAGACAATGATCAATTGTTTTCTTAGACACAGGACGAAATCACATGTTTCCGTATTTCTGAAACGTGGCGGAAACATGCAACTCCATGTTTCCGTTATGTTTACGTAAAAGTGGTCCGGTTCCGTTGTATACGCAGCAACGGAAACGCGAGGAAACGTCACAAAACCGGTAACGGAAACACAGGTTATCCGTCGTGTTTCCGGAACGGTTTAACATGTTTCTGCCACGTTTCCGTTTACGGATTCTTGCAATTTCGTCCTGTGAGAACAGCAAAGCTTATCCGAAAAACTCACACACACACACACATATATATATATATATATTCAAAGAGACCCCCGTTTAGAGCTTCTAGTTCGTTAAAGGTCTGTCCCCATCTACCGGCGCAAAAAGCATACGCAGGGAAGATTTTTCCTATTGCCCTTGTTTTTTCGTCATATTGCTAGTCTTTCTCGACCCGTTTAAAGAGCATCAGGACGAGTAATAGGTGACAGTAAGGAGGAAACTAGTAATCTGCGTTTTTGTCATCGATGAGTTGGCTTTAAGTGCACACTACCATTACCTACCTGCGTTAATTAACTTCGCGGGAGAGATGTGAGCCACAGCCGCAATATAAAAGAGACTATAATTTTGAAATCACAAGGAAAGCATTTTCGAACACTTATACCTGGTATAGACTAAAATAATTGTTCTTACTCTGAACCACGTATAAAGCGAACGTAAGCCCGTTCTCTTCTTCGTCGCCTGAAACGGACGCAAGTTCCTCTAGTCCACTGACGCATTCCAGCAAATATAACTCTCCTTGCTCGAGCATGGACAGCTTTAACCCCAATAAAAGTTTAAATATTAGATTTCATCGATAACTAAGAGCCCGAAAAAGTTCAACAGAAGGTAAGAAAAAAAAAAAACCACCCACGTGTGATCACAGATAAATGTTCGTACTTAATATTAACCTGAAAGTTTAACAATTCACATCTCGCCCAAAACTGAGAGCAAATATAAAATTAAATCTTTCTCATAAATTTCTGTAATTCAGCCGTAGACATTTCACTTTTCTATCATGCACTCTGTCAAAAGGCATAACTAACCATGGATGTTACAAGTAAGCACTTACACAGCGAACGATGAATGGTATATACCATCGTAGCACGCGGCCATTTCCTGAATCTATGTACAGCTCTGCCCAAAGCAGAGTTACGTTGGTTTCTTAGAAGGACAATATCTCCTTCGAAAAGTTTCGGATCTTCAAGAATCTTCGCTGGAAACGAAATTTCAATGTTACTTTTAGTATAGCTTTCCCATCAACGAGTTCTTGAGAACTTAATTGCAAATAAACCATGATAAAATGTATTCCCATATCTCAAATCTTGCTGGTTCAAGCGAATTGTTTCAAAAGCGATTTATAACATAGTATCGCCCAGGAGCTTCTAAGGCTTATTTGGGGTGCAATGAACTGAATAAGGCACCTTTTACAAATTGAAATTCTCGAGTCTCTTTCTGTGATTACAGTTAAGGATAAGAAGTGAACAATTCACGAACGCGAATCACCTTGACACGTACAGTTTTATAAGTTGAGAAAAAAATCGTAAAATTCTGCGCAATTTTCTATTAAGAATTCTCGTCTAAAATATGTTGCTAGTTATTTTAACATTACCTTTGGACTCTTTGTAGAGCACGACTCCAAAAAGAGCGAGAACGAAGAGTAACTTCATAATTCCCATCTCTGGTATTAGGCAAGCCAATGAAGTTCCGCCAAAGCAGCTAGAATTTATACGAACTTGTGTCGATTCACCTGTCAGGAGCACTCTTTAGTCAATGGAGAAACAACTTCTTTTTATTGGCGTGGTAACGCAGTTGATTACATACGCCTCTGCTTAGACTTTCTTGACCTCAATGAACAATTATGTCAAAAAATTGCCCTCTCTAATACATGACTTTGTTTCATACAAGAAAAGAATATTTTCAAAACTCTAAGATCTTCGTAGGTTTGAGATGGGCACGCTTCTACTGCTTGGTATCATACGCCTACTGCACTGGTCAAGATTGATAAACACAAATATAACCAAAAACCGCAAGTGAATTGCCCTCTCTACATACATGACTTTGTTTCATACAAGGTTTATTTCCGAAAATGCAGTGGGTGGAAAAACTCTGTTCAAAAGAATATTTTAACTGCTCAGATAGATTTCTTGCTAACTCCTTCGATGATAGGCGGAAGAGTGGCAAACATAATTTCCTATGAATTTAGTATCTTTATAAAACCCCGGACCACCATGAGAAGAGTTTCTGGAGCTAAAACCTGCGAACTAACTTGACGCCTCTCCGTTTTTTATCAGCAGCGTTTGTGTTTGGTCAAATTCTTAAATGGCCCCATGCTAAACCAAACTCGAATTAACAGCACTCAAAATACGTCAAACAAATGGAGTATCGGTTTAGCAGGTGATCCTGAAAACTGACTTGACGCCTTTCCTTTTTTATCTGTAGCATTTGTGTTTGGTCAAACTCTTAAATGATCCCATGCAAAACCAAACTCGAATTAACAGCATTCAAAAGACATCAAGAAATGGAGTATCAGCTGAGCAGGTGATCCTGCAAACTGACTTACTGCCTCCCCTTTTTTATCTGCAGAGTTTGTGTTTGGACAGATTCTTAAATTATCCCATGCTAAACCAATTAACAAATAGAGATGCCTTGACTATGTAGTAAAAAGATGATTGGACAAAACAAACAATAGTTACAGAACGATGAATGCATTTACAAGGAAAGTTTTGAATGAACATAATAAAGTTGATGATTAAGTGTAGGTTGCTCCCATTGAATGTGGATAACTTATTTGATTTTAAGTTGGAAAGTTGTGGAAGCGTGATGATTTCGACACTACAGGGAAAAGGAACCCTTAAATCTAGCTGGTGTACATGTACTGCAAGAATTCACATGCAAAAGAAATAAATTTCAAGTAGATATATATCTGCATTAGAGAGAGAATCTTGTTTCTGTTAATGCTGCTGTTGTTATTCATTTTGAGATGTTCATCATATGTGGGAAGGCGTCATGACATCAACCTACATCCTGGCTGCTGAACCACGGGAATCATGAAATCATGAATCATGGCTCATAAAATTGGTGGGTACTACGTGGCTCTAGGACAAAACAATCATGTTCCAAGGACTCATTGCGAAATAAACGTACACTAAAATACCTTTTAAGGACTTAAGCATAGCTAAGAGTAATTTTTGGCCAAAATAAATTTTAAAGAGCGGTGATCACTGTTTTGTTTCGAAGAAGTCCATAGCTTGATTTATTCAAATTGCTCCACTGCTTTTATTACTGTGGCTATGAACCACTGTGCTCGGGTTGTCCGTTGAAATTTGTGCTTTCTCTTTTTTTCATGGAGAGAATTAGCCAACAATCTACAATTAACCAATAATCTATCATAAAAAAAAAACAACAACAACAACAACTACAAAAAGTGAGGGATGAGAAGAGACAAAAAACTCGTTATATTTATTAGTTCACTTAGTCATTAAGATTCTTCCGCGTTGATATGGTTCATGGGAGAATATATCTACAACAGAACCTTTTTAAAGCTTTTGTGGGGATTGTTCTTGAATTTGCGAGGAAGTAAGTAAGATTAAGATTGTGCCCTGACCTAATGGTGTCCTCATAGCTCAACACAAGTGGTAGCCAGTACACAATATGTAATTTCCTATAGGGCACGCTTTGGGTTTTTGGCACGAACAATTTCGTTCTGACAGGAATAGATACATCAGAATACTGTGGCGGAACATCTAACGTGGTAAGTGGACATACCCCTGAATTAAGAGTTAGGAAAATTAGACTAAAGTACTCTGCGGTCATTAGAACGCAGATTTACGTAGGGCTAGGGTTTTTAGGGTTTCTATTAAGAATTACTGCGATTCGATCAACAAACATTTTCAGTCTTATACCGAAAGTTCTTTAAACGACCTTTACTTTGAAACATTAATCTGAGTGAACCTTACCTCCGAATGGGGACAATCTTTAAGATAGGCTGAAGATGAAGTAATTATCTTGACCTTGTCAGGAGTTCGCTGTAACACTGAATTATCTATAACTTTATGGATCAGTTTAAATCATAAAAAAGTTCAAAAAAAAAGATAAGCGTTTACCTTACTGTCAAATATGAAACACAACCTATAATAGGCCTTACTAAATTAAGGTCTTCAAAGTATTGCAACGTGTGTTTAGGGGAAAAGATATTTAAAATAGTTTTAAACACACTTGCTTTTTTCTCTTCAACTAATGATTAGACTTATAGGAATGAAGCATAACTTCTCAAAGAGACGTAAATCCACTATCAACTCTCACGGGGTTCGTTACGACTACAGAAGAGTGGTGCATTATGGGCCTAAGGCTTTCTCCAAGAACGGATGGCTAACAGTTCGAGCTAAGCGAAGAGGGGTACGTTACCATTGGTACGTTCTTACACTCTATGTATGAAGTTTTCAATGTCCATTGAAGAATGGAAAGCTCTCTGATAAAAATGATAAAGCTTGTGGGAGGGAATGAAATTCATTGTAAAGCTGATTAACGTAAATTGTACGGAAACTGAAAGTTTTTTAAGTTACCATTGGCTCACGAAATCATATCAGTCACCCGGACAGACTTCAGACGTTCCGCAAGTACTACAGAAAGGGCTGAAGGTGAGAAAGCAAATATATTCTTCGCGCAAAATTTCAAAAGCTTAAGCAGAGACTAGAAAATAAAAGGCACGAGCAAAATTGAGCCTAGAAATGTTAGATCAGTTCTATTTATATCATTTTAGCGATGTAGGAGCAGACCCTTCATAATAGATTTTGATATTTGATTTTACTTTTTGCAGGGCCTCGGAACTTTAAATCAACCAGTGGATTGCTGTATTGAGCAGAAGAGAATGGAATAAAAGAGTTAGAAACGAAATTTTTTTTCTCTTTTGAAAACCTTGTTACGTCAAAAGAAAGAACACCAAACTCCTTCAAACTTAAATACTTCAATTAAATTACGTGTACTATTCTTATTAAGAAGTGACTCCTAAATCCAGTACAACAGTCATCCTTAATACACTTTCATAAGCCCACTACATTCCATCACTTACTTGAGCCCACTACAGTCCATAACTTAGCTCACCACTGACACAAACTCAAAGTTGTCTCCAAATATCCTCAAAATGAAAAATATTTCACTTTAGCTATCTCTCGGCAAAGCTTTCCAGACAATCAGGCCCTTCTGATAACAACAACAAGTACCACTACACGCATAATAACAACCTTTTGTTCAAAAATCTTTCGAAGGCTCAACTGGCCACTGCAGGAGTCTCAGTCGTTTCGCTTAGGAGGCGTTTCGGTGGCGATCAGTTCGCTAACGGTTTAGGCGGTTTCGCTAACGTTTCAGGTAAGTTGGCTGACATATCATGGCTCATTTCGCTAATGTCATATGCAATTTCATTGCTGTCTCTTTCCAGTTTTGTTTGCTTCGAAATAGCGACAATTAAAATGTTTTATCGTAAACATATGTGTAAGATCGGCCAAAAATGGACTGGCAAATCTATGTATCGAGTCGAGTTTGTCGAAGTATCTATTCGATTTCAGTTTGTTTTGAATCGACTTTCAGTTTGTATTGAAACGATCTAACCTCCTTACGACTTTTCGATCGATTAGATTTAAGTCGATCAAGTTCTGCCTGTGGGATCATTAAACGTTTTGAAATGTGTCACCGAAACGAACGATGAGACGTTAGGCGAGACGACCTAAGATGATAGGGAACTGATCGTTATTGAAAGGACCTGTTGGTAAAACAACTGCTTACTGAAAAAGGTAGTTATATTATCTCGATCTTAGCGATAAGCTAATAGGAATACTCCATCCGAAATCAAGGAAGTTTAGCAAACTGGCCTGCACACCCGTAATGCAGTTTTTTTTTTCAAATTAGTACAGAAACTTCATGGCCACCAAAACCTGCTAAACTATGCGAGGGTGCAATATTTTAGTTTAGTTGTTAGAATTGTCTCCTTCAAACGTTTTCACCAGCATTCTATGTCCCTAAGAAAAACAACGAATAAGCTGTTTAAAGAAAGATATTTTTCATAAATATGTCAGGAGAGTGGTACACAAAAATCCTGGGTTCATATTAGGATTTCTAACCTGAGTTTATCTTAAGCTAAGATTCCTCTCCAGAATGATTTACTGAGAGCCCAAAATGAGAACAGCCTCTTACACGCTGTTAGAACCATCAACATTCTATATGGGGACAGAATGATAAAAAAATCGAGCTTTTCAAAAAAACCTCATCGAAAAAGATGAGAAAATCCTTAAAAGATCCTCTATTTTTTAATTGGTTTAGCGTGGAATCATTTAAGAATCTGACCAAACATAAACTCTGCGGGTAAAAAAAGGAGGCATTAAGTCAGTTTACAGAATCACCTGCTCAGCCAACACTCTTTTTTTTTTTATGTACCGGTATTTGGAACGGGATGGATTAAGAATTTGACCAAACATAAACGCTCCTGACAAAAAACGGAGAGGCGTCAAGTTAGTTTGCAAGTTTTTGCTCTAGAATCTCTTCTCATGGTGGTCCGGGGTTTTATCAAAATGCTAAATTCATAGGAAATGATGTTTCCCACTCTTTTCGCCCATCATCGAAGGAGTTGGTAAGAAAACTATCTGAGCAGTTAAAACATTCTTTGAATAAAGTTTTTCCGCCCACT